TTCTTTTGAATTTAGAAATCATCTTAATCGCCTTTAACATTTATCAATAAACCCATCATAGTCGTTGTTGCTAATCGTATTTGGGTTTATGGATTGGTTTATCATATTAGCAGCCTAAAATGCGAACATAGTTTAGATAATAAGATTAAAAATTTAGGTACTGTCAACTGCACTAGTAAAATAACTAAATCCCCAGGTAGCTGTTGGCTAAACAAACGTTTAAAATCAAAACTCCGTAGCCTACTAGAATTAACACTAAACGAATATTTCTGAATTGAAATTTATAATTAAATTAGGCGTCTCGGATTCTTTAACGTTATAAGTTTCTGATGATTTCGAATCACCTAAAGCAGCAATACCTATTTTTCCACTGACTAATCCTCAGTCAACACTATAACTAGTTAAATTTAATAGTTTCAGGATATCGTCATAAAGCATTGTCATAACTTGACAATCACGTAATATGACTGATAAAATTAATGAAACTAGTAACGAAATCGGTCAACAAATTAACTTATAATTACCATTAAATGGTGTTGTTTTCTTGGTATCTTCATCCATCACAGATGATTACAGTATGTTTCTCTATCAGTTGCTCATTCAGTAAATATCTCAAAACCTTGTCAGTCTAATTGATGGTTTAGCGACACAATCATGCATGCAAATAATCAGTATAAGCAGTCGAGCAAATCTCCTGCAAACTGAAAACATCAATGTCGAATTTACCCCAACACTGACTAAGGTTCAAGCCATTATCATAGACATGAGTTGGGAGTGTACTCCCCCTGGTTACAACTTATGTACTCCCTGATAATCACATGAGCATCACTCACTATTAATCATCTTGTAAAAACTTATTTAGCTAAATACATCTTGCAGCACCACATCACCTAGTAATATGACACAGGCCTAACTGATTTCAATAACTTATAACCACTATATCTCAATTAAATCGTATTCCGCCTTATTATAAACTGCATACTTGCAACTAACTTGTATGCCCAATCAGCCAGCAAGTATAAGTATAAATAAATAGTCTGCCGCAGATCAAAATATTGAGTCCAGAGCATGTCTTACGAATACATTCATGTTTAACGATTTGTTCTTAGCTATCTGTCCAAAACTCATATAATTATCACTCATGTATTGAAATTTTCTTTTGATAACCATTCATGTGTATTAGTAGTATTACTAAATTCTATCACGGTCAAGTAAAAATGAGGTTGAGAAAATCTCCCCGTAACTAAATAAACCGTATCAAACTAACTGGAACACTAGTTGGAATTCTTTACCATGGTAATACTTTTGTTCCTTCAGTTAGCCTACTGATACAGATGCAATTGGAAATCAACTCATAATTTAAAGCAAAACTAATACCAATATTAACATTTCTACAATATTCATTATTTTAATATTTCTAAACACAAAATAATCACTACCTATAAGTTAAGTTATTAACACGCATCGTTTTATTATTATTATTATAGTCTCATTTTTTATAGTTCAAATAATCTTCACCCAAATTTTCATTTCAAGCGTTTTAAGCATGAAGGCAGATATTTTAAAATTATTACATGTATTTCCCGACCAGATGCTGCCGCTTTCTTTTTGATTTATCTTTCAGCTTATCAATACCCGGAGGATCTTTATTATCCTTGGTAACCTCCGGCGCGCGACGATCCCATCCAATTTGGTATCGAACCAACATCACGTTGATTCTGGTGGGAGAGTAGTGTAGTGGCATTGGACAATAGCCACACAATCCACAAAGCTGTGAACACGAGACTACTCAGAAAATAGATATTCAATATTTAACGCGGATAAATACCTAACAATGGAGAAGGCGCGAACAAGGAATTGAATGGACTGGAGTTGATCGAGTGGCATGGCTCGTCCATGCAGACGTCGTCCATCTCAGTGTTACTTTATATCTTCTATTCATATTAAATATATTGTTCTTTCTCTAGCCTAACCTTGTTCCTCATCATGTATTGGTAATTGATACGATACAGTGAGTTGGTGTAGTCGATGGTGTGACTTCCACGTAAGATCTTATAGATTAGGCAGTTATATCATGACAAATCGACAAGTTTAGGATTAGGTTTATTATTAGAGCAGTACTAATATCATAGTAGACCATAATTCTACATATCCATCAAACTCTGTACCGGGCAAACGTTCCCAGTTGCTTCTGGCCGCTATTCATCCTAATTGTGTTTGCTTCCAATGTCCGGCTTGTTATGTTCTATGGTCTTCCTCTTTTTCATTTTTCTTCAGGGTTTCAAGTAAGCGATCGCCTCATGATACATACCGATCATCTCCTAATCTCCTCTTCATCTGGTAGCTGGTTTTTCTCCCCCACTGTAGGTTGTTGTTCATGGTATCAGACCAACGGATACTGAGTAGAAAGTAGACGATTGTTGATAAATATTGTGCCCTTTTGATGATGGTTGTGGTAATTTCGCAAGTTTTGGCTCTACACAGTAGAACTGCCTTGACGTTCGAATTGAAGATTGTGACTTTGATATAGGTTAGTGATTGTTTTGAGTTCCTTATGTTTTAAAACTGTAGGAATGCGGTCTCTGCTTTGCCAATCCTCGCATTTACGTCTGCAGTTTGGGAGCCAAGACCCTTTTACTCGGTCATACCACAGACTAGGAAGTGAGCTGTTTTTACTCTATGGGATAATAAGAAGTGGTTCTGGATCTAATACATCCTCTCTTTTTCTTCATATCAGATCAGGACAATTCAGAGTATATTACAGACGGGTACAAAGGCCAAGACTGGACAAAATATTCGTGTCATACAGCTTTTCACACTGAGTCACCAATTATTTGGGTCTGTTACCCGCCCATTCAATTGACTCATTCAAAAGTAAGCTAAACACGCTCAGAAGCTTACTAGAAAATGACTAACGCAGGTTGTGGTGCACCTGTCCTTAATACATAAATCTGAGTCCGCATATTATGACCCTGAATTCCACTACTGATTCTTGAACCGTTAGCATTTGTGGAGGTAAATAAATCCCCAAAATAAATAGATCTGTAAGTCTTCGACGAATGATGCTGACTTCATCAGTTCTAATGGATGTACATACTCAATGAACAAATATGCTTCCAAAATGACAGTTTACGTAAATGTGAAAATGTATTCAAGCAAAAATTTTAAAAAGCAGAGTGGAAATATAAGTGTAAAACAGAAATGAGATTACACATATCATGCAATGAAGAATTTTGCATATGAACTGAATTCCTATCATAGAATCAGAAACGTTAATTATCACAGTAACAAGGTAAGAACCACTATTTCGACAACAGTTAAAACAAACATTATATCCAGTTGCCATTGGATATATCTGGACGTAAACCTGCCACACTACCATAGTGTACTCATCGACTCGAGCAAACGGAGGTCAATAGACGGTGATACTAAATTGTCTGTTTGTGGAGTTTCATTTACTGGCTGTAAATTATCCCCAGTAACTGTTAGGCAGATAATCGACCCTTTTGACTAGTCGATACTCGAAAATACCCCAGACTGTAACAAACGAGATAAAAATAACCGTGCGTAACCAGCAAAGTTACATACCGCCTCAAAACTACGGGAACACCTGTAAATTCGAAAGCGCACTGACTAGCTCCAGAAAAGCTAAGGTTGGCTAGAAATGAATCCAAGCACATTGTTAACTTCGTAAGTATTCGGCCATCGAACAGCTCATAAACATCTCCCTTGCACACGATTTCTGAAAGGAACATTAATGATTGACGTTCAACTAGTAATCATCAACGACAGAATACAATAACCATTGTCGATTGTTACTACTTGCCACATGTTGACGACCTGATAGCTATCTTAAAAGGTACAACTGTCCTTCCTAAAATCGACATGGTTAGAACATACAACCGAATTCATATGGCTGCCGACGACATTTCCAAAACCACCATCACCACCTTCAAACTATAAAATGTTGTTCATACCTCTCGGTTTAGGGAATGCAGTACAAACTTTCCAGAGATTCATCGATGATGTCTTTAGTGATCGCAACTTCGTACACAAATTTGTCGATGACTGATTGAGAGTAAGTCAGGACGGAGAATCTCATCTACAGCATCTTTACCGTGTTTCCGAACGGCTGCAGTGACACGGCATTACTACAAACATTCACATATGTCAGATTGGGACCGACTACCTGAATTTTGTCGGACACTCTATTGATGCTCAGATCATCCACCCTGTGAAAAGTCATGGCGGCTGTTTGTAATTTCCAGAACTAACAGCAGTTAAGCAGTTACGTACGTCCAACGATCTGGTAAGGTTTTATTGATGGTTCATACTGAATTGTACATCTCCTATGTGACCCTTAACAGACCAACATCGTGGAAACCTGAAATTTATCAATTTGGACGACAATTCAATAAAGCATTCCACACAGTTAAGGAAACCGTTGCAAAGCAACTGTGTTCGCACACCAGGACATCAAAGTACCTATTGGTATGGCAGTAGACTCATCCAACTCGGGAATCGGAGGAGACTTACAACAATTGATAAGTGAAAACTGGAAACCTTTCAGCATCTTTCTCAAGACGGTTGCAAGTTACCGATTCGGGGTATGACACATTTGATAAGGAAGTCATGGTCGTTCGTTATGCTGTACGGCAAATTCAACACTATGTGGAAGGCAGAAAGTTCACGCTTTTCACTAACCGTTAACCTCTCAAAGTCTCTCCGAGCTCGTTATTCAACAAGTCCTTCTCTCGACAGTCTCTACAAGTAGACTACATTTTGTAAGGTCAGTTTTCCAGAACACTTGAACGACTACAGAGCAAAGATAACTGCATACCATTTTCTTAAATCTCGTTCATTTGTATTATTGTGTCAAAAAACAAACATGTTTCTCTCTTGTGTGCTCGTATATGCGTATATTTCTCTTTCTAAAAAAATCCAAAGAATAACTGTTATGTGAAGGTGTTTTATTACGCTATCAACCTTGTCGGTTGTCTGAACTCAAGGGCGAATCTCTAAACCTGTAGTGTGCTTGGTGTATTTACTCTAGCAACTGTCCTCAGTATTTATTACTGTTATGGTAAGTCGTTGTGGTTTGGGTATAAATTTCGATTTATTGAATCTCATCGCACGGTCTATTACTTATCAGAATAAACTGGTAGAATATAATCATTTCGAAGAAATCTTACTGAAAACTTGTTGGAGGTTTTATTAAAATACTATAGAAGACCTGTATATGTAATGCTGCGGATTTTATCCCTCAAATTCACACATTTTATAAAAGTCCCTGCAGGCGAAAACAGGACTTTTTAAAAGAAAAATCAGAATTTTCATTGCTTTTATATAGATTCCCAAAATGTGCTATTAGTTCGCTCATAATTTCGGAAGGCACAATAAACGTATAAGATCACTCTTCCATATATTCAGTGACGTTGGAAGAATCTACTGATTCTCAAAAGGAAACGTCCTTCCTTAAAGTTCAGGAATCTAGATCGTAATAACATCTTTTCCCCCCATTTGTGCCTTTATAAATCTGGTCGTCTAGTAACTTCAAAAAGCTAGCTGTTGCTTGTATCACACCACATCATTTGTACCTGATATAAAAAATAGGCGGTTCTGACCAGATGGCATATTATCTATTTGCAAGAAAAAATGGCGAGACTCTAATTTAGGGACGAGCCAATCAGAAGCGTCTGAGCAATTTCAAGGTCACGGAGCCAAGTTCAACACGCGCTGCTAACATACGATCGGTTCACAGCGGATTTTAGAGAGTAGGTGATTAATGAGAGGTTACAACAGATAGAACGGCGAGACTCTAATTTAGGGACGAGCCAATCAGAAGCGTTTGAGTAATTTCAATTATTAGTCAATCAGAAGACGGCATAAAGTAAAAATAAACTAAAAGAAAGTAATAAATTACAGTGAATATTCTTCTTTGACATGATTTAAAATTTCGTATGTTAGCATCCTAACCCTAACCCTAAAAACTCGTATGTTAGCATCCTAACTCTAACCCTAAACCTCAACCTTCAAATAACCCTAACCCTTAACCCTAACCCCCCACCTAACCCTAAACCCTCACCTAACCCCAACCCTAACTAACCCTAACCCCAAACCCTGACCTTAACCCTATACCCTCAATTAACCCCAAACTCTAACCTTAACCCTAAACCCTCAACTAACCCTAAACTCTAACCTTAACTCTAAACCCTCACCTAGCCCTAAACCTTAACCCTCAATTAACCCTAACCCTAACCTTACCCGTAAACCTAACTCTAACCCAATAGACGAGTTTCTATTCCATATGCATTGTGAATTCAGAACCTCTGAACCTTAATCAAACCTTAACAAGTTTTTAAATCATGTAAAAGTAGAATATCCACTGTAATTCATTACTTTCATATAATACATTTTCACTTTATACTAACTTTCTTCTGATTGGCTAATAATTGTCAAGGTCACTTAAGATTCGTTCAAAGGTCGTCCTTAAATTAGAGTCTCGCCGAAAAAATAGTTATGTTATCAAAGTACCTAACATCTTATATATGTAAGGCTGTAACAAGAAGTATCGTATCATAAATGTCGATATATTTAAATGAATCGAACACATACAAAACATCTCACGTAAATTCCCCTTACATTGCATTATGAAAAGTAACTAAAATAATTTTTAGCATTGCTTTTAACTTAGATTGAAAGCACTCTTGAAAAATAAAATATTAGTCACTGATATGACGAAATTATCAATATTTATATCTCTTTGATCATAAGCATCTGAAAGAATACACCGGTTAAAGGAATAAATGAAAAGGGAAAATACTCCATAGATTAGTAAATATCATGAAGCCTCATCCCCAGGCTTTGTTGACGCGATACGTGTATCAAGTGTGCATATGGACTTAAGAAAATAATGTTTACCAGGATAGTTTGCACGGAAATTTTTATGCAAAATAAGCGACTTGCTGTAAATTCAATTAGTACTTTAGAAGCCTGTTGAAAGTGTTTATTAATTGACAAATTTTACATAAACCTACGAACTAGATACATCAACATAAAAATATTAAGCATATAAAAATATAATAAACAGTCTTGATTGATTTATACTTACATTTTCTTTCGATACTAGCCCACGTTTGTTTTATCTCTCACATAGTGCATTAAGCTTTAACTATCGAAATACTTGACCTGTCAAATGTCTCAGATGAGGAACAACTTTTGAGCCTAGAACACCAGACACCTGGACAGTAGTGTTTGCTGTGTCTATGACTTACTGTAAATCTTTATGGAAGAATCTATCCTTATTAATACCCAACTTGTTGTCTGTCCCGTAGAGAGTATGAATAGTTGCAAGTTCCAGTGGCATTATGTAATCAAAAATTAGTTTCGCTGGCTTACAAAAATCATTTTCAGTGACCACTGACAATTTTGTAACCTTATTTGCAAAATATAACAATTACAACTCACAAACTGACCAGGGAGTTTTGATCCTTTAATGCAGTTTCTATCGTACGTAGTTTTTCTGATGTCTGAAGTGGAACTTCCAAAGTACGTGATCCATGCTGGATGTGTTTTTTAATTTCGATGAGTGAGCTTTAATATAAGCGGTCAAATTATTTATCTGATTTGATAAATCACTGATGACTGACATTATTATATCAGTGGTGGTATGATAACCCTGACACTTGTAAGCACAAAAATAGGCCTCAGTACAATTTACTCAGTGACCGGGTTCTGTGATGTACATCCTATCAGTGATATCAAAATATCGATTTTGGAAGAACTAATTTATAAGAATTGACCCGTCAAGTTATCAACACTATGAAAATCAACCGAAAAGTATTCAGCCTCCAACTCTTTTGATGTGTACATATAGTCAACATGATTTTTACCTGTCTGACAACCACTTTATATTGCATATAACCATTTTACCTCATATACTTTCTAGATTGACATAGTAACGTATCATCATCAGTGGTATTGATCGTAAGTGAGGATTTCTGTCAATGTTATCTTGAAATCGATAATTAATTGGAAATCACCTGGGAAAAATATTTTGTGTTTCCACAACTAGTCACAATAATATAAACTGTATATCCGCAAAGAGCAATCAGCATCGAGACTAATCCTACCCATAATTTCTTTTGATACCACACCCTCTTTGTATACATAAGTGCTTGCTGAATAGCCAGATGCTGGGTTCTACAAACACTCATTTCTCCATGACGTTGATAATGACAAGATTATAGTTGATGCTAAAGGAAAATTTAATTGTGTTATGAAATTTAAAAGTTACATTTGAAAACTTGAAAACATTGTTGATAACTCTAACTTGTGAAATAGGCTGCCATTATCTAAAAGTGTAATCCGGTATGTTAGACAGACATAATCAACTTACAGCCTGCTGTATGTGTTAATTCACGTCATTCGGTCTATAACCACTAATCTTGCTTATCACGCAGATCTCAGTCAGATAGTTTGCATCAACTGACATGGCTCAACCTAACAGCCAATGACTTCGTAGACTGATGTCACTTTTTGATTTGTCTGTTTAGCTTTCTTCTAACCTGTTTTTACACTAGGCTGTGGTTAAGCATGCGTAACATATATCCTATCCATCTTATTCATTGAAGATTCACTACCTCATCAACCGATTTATGAATTACCATATACTTAACCCTAGCGTTGCTCACTCAGTCGTTTCGAAAAACACGAATATTACTTCGAAGACACCTATGATCAGTGATCTTCAGCCTATGCGTGTCCTCTACTTTTATAGACTATGCTTCACAGCCATAAAGTAGAACAGATTAGACTGCTTTGCAGCATACACACATTTTGGTTAGCAGGTGGACATCTTGCCTATGCCATAAATGACACAAGCTGGCTAACACCAACCAGGATTTCTGAATCTACACAGAGGTTTCGTCGGACAACCCTTCAAACCTAATAAAACCTTCAAAATAAATTGTGTGGTTGACGCACTCAGCTTCTTCACCCCCCACCAATAGTCCAGGTGTTGATGCAGACCCGTCTCAAGGCAAAATTTATAGATTTATATGGAAAAATAATCTCACCCTCTGAAAATGTCGCGATTGTTCAACCATTGTGTAAATCTGTTTAATCTAGAACTATTCCTACTGGTACACTTCTTGAGACGTTATATCACTAAATTTAATGCAAACGTACGTACGGGTGAAATGATAACATCGTAGTTTCGTGTAGAAATTGAGATGCACTTACAAAGTATAACTCGTAGAAATCTACTCAAATTCGTGGCTAACTGCTGAACATCTAAAGGCGCCGATACTGCTGAAAGGAAACGCCTCGGTAAAGTAATCAGAAGGATTAGCGTAAGCTCTAAACCTACTTATTCTCTACTAATTTGTCTTATAAACCCAGGCTTTATGTTTGGTATCATTGCCCCTAAATACCCTGGTACGGCCGAGAGTGGGGAGAGTCCGCTGTCCCTCTCGAAATACTCTCACATGACCACGCGTATATAGCTCCTGCCAGGGAAGTCCTACTCACTGCCTTCTCGTGGCGAGGCTGTTGTTTACAAAAATTGAGAGGACGGGAAGCGAATGTCCGGCTGCTTAACCGGGTTAGTGGATACAGAGGGTCCACCTAAGGGATTGGAAATCCCTGACTCCAAACCAATGGTCCACGTAGGATCCAGGATCCTGAGGGAACAAATGGCATATGAACCAATTATTGGTGACCGGCTACCATGGGACTGTATCTCCTTACGTTGCTCCACTGTCTTGTGGGTCAGACCTGTAGGTCGAAGGTTCCGGGTGTGTCCCCCTGAGAAAAACACCTGCTTCGGTTTGGGCACCAGGGCAGTATCACAGCCCTCACACAAATCAAATGAGGTTTGTGTGGTGCATATGTATCTGGTGCCTCCTTGTACTAATATCTATGTGTTCAAATAAATAAATAAATAATTGGTATTATTATATTACCGAATTTGTCAGTAGGAAACCGAGTTTTAGGATGTGATGACTTCCTTCGAGAAACTATCACTTACAAAAGACCCAGTTACATTAAGTAGTATTTCATGTCTATGTAGACTTATTCGACAGATCACTGTGCTGCTTATTAAGCTGCGGCAAGTCTACAATGTACTGAGGTCCTAATTTTCCACGTATATGACCTTAGCGGCAATTCCTGAGGTCTTAGGTAGAATTTGGGAACTGGACGTAATCCCATGTGACTGGTCTCAATCACTGGTTGTGCCAGTCTATAAGAAAGGACAAAAGTCCTCTTGTCACAATCACAGAGGAATCAGTTTGACAAATAGAGTGTCTAAAATATTAGCTTCAATAATACTTCGACGCCTAACCAAATCTCGTGAAGAACAGACTAGAGAAAATCAGGCTTGTTTTCGACCTGGACGTGGTTGTAGAGATCAGATATTCACACTACGTCAGGTTTTAGAATACAGACATACATTCAGACGCCCCACAATCGTAGTATTTCTCGACCTTAAGGCGGCATTCGACTCTGTTGATCGTAAGGTTCTATGGCAGTGTTTGTCACTGAAAGGAGTACCAAAGAAGTACATTAACCTTGTAAAGGCTTTCTACTCGAACACAACTGGTCGAGTGAGAGCTTATGGCGAACTGTCATCAGAATCGATTGCCTTAAGTGGTGTTCGTCAGGGCTGTCCACTCTCTCCATTCTTGTTTAACTTTGTCGTCGACGTACTTTTAGAGATTACACTTTCCTCGTCTAGATTTCCAGGGGTTGAACTTCTACCAGGAGGTTCACTTGTTGACTTAGAATATGCTGATGACATAGTTTTATTTGGTGAGGACGCTGACAAAATGCAGAGTCTTCTGACCACTCTAAGCAACAATGCAAGCATGTTCGAGATGCGATTCTCCCCCTCGAAATGCAAAATGTTGCTTCAGGATTGGGTTACATCGACACCCGAACTAATGATAGGGAGTGAAGTAGTTGAGCGTGTCGATCGCTTCACTTATCTTGAAAGACTCATCAGCCTTTGTGGTCTGGTGTGTGATGAAATCTCAGCACGGATACAGAAGGCTCGACTAGCTTTTGCCAACTTGCGTCATTTATAGAGTAGGCGAGATATCCGTCTATCAACCAAAGGACGGGTTTACTGTGCAGCAGTTCGTTCCGTCCTACTTTATGGCAGTGAAACATGGCCGGTAAGAGTAGAGGATATCCGTAGGTTACTAGTATTTGATCATAGGTGTCTTCGAAACATTGCTCGTATATCATGGGACCATCAAGTAAGTAACACAGTTGTTAGGAAACGGGTACTAGGTAAGGATGGCAAATCAATTGATGAAGTAGTGAAACTTCATTAGTTGAGATGGCTGGGACACGTGTTACGTATGCCCAACGACCGACTGCCTCGACGTGCGATGTTCAGTGGTATAGGAGTAGGTTTTAAGAAAGCTAGGGGCGGCCAGACCAAAACATGGCACAAGTTCATGAAGTCACTGACAAGTGGACTGAGTCATGTTGGTAGGTGTAGACTCCCTGGTTGGGGACCGCGAGATGATACCAACCGATGGTTAGAGACCCTGAATGACATGGCTCAAAATCGTTTGCAATGGCGCAGGTGCATCTACTCTTTGTGTTCTCCTAAATTCTAATCTTCTGAATTCGTCATGTCCCTTTCTTTTTTCTCTTTCCAAACTTATTCCACTGGATAATACTCCTTGAATAACATCTTCAAACCCTAATTCTTATGATTACAGCTTATAATTTCACTACATCTAGCACTAAGGGATTTGAATCGACCACTGCATCTCCGTGCTAATGTGGCGTGGCAACTCGAACTGATATACGTACGTACGAAGTTCTACGTTGTTACTGACTGACTGGCTGACTAGCGGCGACTCAGAGAACAAATTCAAGCTCTTTTTGTAGATCATCAATAATGGACTTTAAGCTATTCGCATCGTAGACTATGTCCTCGATTTTATAGCACTTTTCGTATCCTATCAAGAATTCAAGTTTCTACCCACACTTCTCAAACATGGTGTGTGTCTTAAGGTGAGACAAGTAAATTAACAGCGATAGGCGATAAAAATTTTCATAAAGTTCCAAAGATAATCGATTTTTTAGAATTACAGGTCCTAAGTATAATGAGAGTAGTCGGCTTTCTGTTGTCTCTCGAATAGTAACTTCATCCATAGGACGACCTCTATAGAAAATACAAGCAGAATGTTGGCTACACAATATTCCTTGAACTATAGATACTAAAGTGAAAGTAACCATGTTTAAGTCTTGTGATGGTTTAAGCTTATTGATAGAACACGGATGATTAAATCGATCGTTGCTGGTTCGTTTAAATTTCCTCCAGTATTAGTATATTCTCAGTGCTAGCAGTTTAAGGGGGGTGACTATGTTTGACTTGAGGTTGCTTAAAAATTCCAAGGGCAGTTTGTGAGATAGACTGACTAGTAGCACAAAGATTGTGTTTAGTAAGAATTCCAGTAAGCGCTTATGTTAAATTGAGGGTGCATTTCTCAGTCTAATTGCCATCGATTGTCCTTTATAGCTATCACATCCGAAATCAGAATTAGGTTATTTTACCAACTAGAGGTTTTTCATGATTTCTCGATTCTTATCACAAGCTAGTATGGCTGCAATCATTTTTATTTTCCCATTTTAAAGATAACATTCTTCCATACTTTCAGTTCACTTTTTCTTGTGTAGTGTGTGACAAGTAAAAAAAATGTTTGTGCCAAATCATTAATTTACCCGAACTACCACTAATCTGAAGTGGTTTTACTTGACTTCCCAATAGATTTCGAATACAACTGTATTTGTGTCTAGTTATATAGCCAGTTTATTTTCGAATCTTTTCATTTTGTTGCCTTTTTTCATTTCAGGGAAATAGGTTACAATCATATACCTCACTTGGATATATATTATGTATTGTTAAAGTGATTTTGATAACACTAATACATATCACATATTCAGTTTCTTTAGAGGAATATGACGAAATGGTAGTTATGTATTCATTAACTAAAACCTCTCAGGCGTATGCTGTCCCCACAGAAAACATCGATATTGATTTGTTTCTGAAATCACATTCATCATATAATAAGTACACCACTACCCAAAAGAATTTGAACGCAACTGTTTTGGCATATGTAACGCCTGTAAGTGACATTATTCTGTGTTAAAAACCAGATATATAGTGGAATAAACTAGGATACGAAGTAGCAAAAATATTCGGTGCTAAATTCAACCTTATTGCTCCTGTGTGGTTTGAAGTTCAAGGTGAAAAAAAGGCATATACAGTTACTGGGATCCCTGAAATTAACACTGGTTTGATTGACACCTTTTCTGGATTATTATATTTTCTCAGAATGGCTTAGTGAAATTCGCACTGTGAATCCTGATGTAAAGATAGTACCTCGATTTTCCTTCAGTCCATGGGAAGACCGTGATTATGCCGCAACTTTAAAAGATGTTCCTAAAACAGATAAATGTATTCGAAATGTGATCAATATTTTAAAGGTTAGTTTTTGCTCATAATTGGTTGGTTCCTTTTTCCCTCTGGAAGCTATGCTTGACTTGTTCTGTTGTCAGAATGTAGTGTGCACTATTTTATTTTCATAATAGTGGAAGAATTTTTGTTATTGTTAATGAACAGAATCTTCGGTAGCGTTCATATTTGATTGGATAACATATGATCCCATGACCTATTGGTATGTAGTATTCACCTTGTGTACCATTAATGAGTGCTGCATATGACCGAGTTTGATGACTATAACAAATGCTAGCTCTTTATTGACAGTTACAATTAAGTAAAAGGTAGTACGACATTCAGAAGCTCACTATGAGTAATAGTAATGTCTATTTATCCTTTCGTTTTGTGATTATTCTTGTAATTTATCTCCTCTGTGAGACAACCTCAGTTATGTTATTATTGATTTGTTCTCCATCACACTGTGGTTATACCGTTAGCATTCCTTGCACTAATATTTGTATGCACTTCATCGAATGCTAATTTTTCGCTTGATCAGCGTGGCAATGACAAATAGGAAATGTTCCTCTATTATTATATACATCGTTAAGGCCAGTCTAGTTTATGTATGTGACAATCATCGAAGTATGAGTTTGCCACCAGTTGATCGTAAAATGATTACTGTTGAGCCAGAAAAGGCACCCTTGGAAGCACACTTAGGTAAGAGGGTCACGGAATTATCTAATGAACTAATACAGAGGAGAGCAAGAAATTGAAGTGATAAATGATCTATTAAAATATAAGTTTATGGATACCGAAAATGACTGGCATTTAGAATTTATGTAAGAAAATATAGTACGATTATTCCACAATGAAAATCTTATGATAGCGTTTATCGAAAATTCGAATGAAGTGTTATGGATGACGTAATTCCCAACAGGATGTTATTTGCTGTGTGACTTGAGAATGTTTAGCACTGCTTTTGAAAATATGATGCGCGTTCTTTTCTTTTGGCTTACCAAATTGTCATCTGCGTTTCTTGTCGATTGAGTCAGTTCTGTTGAGTTCGTTGGCCGAATCTATAGTGTTCGGAAGGTTCTTCGTCGATGTGGTTCTCCAGGTTGCGTTAAGTCCAAAGTAGGGCTTACCAGTTTGTAGAGACTGTTCTCCCAAATTTGACTCCGAAATCTAATGACCCGTTAACTGTTTATTTTTTGGCAGGCTAATTCTCTTTGTATCGCTATTGAATTCATTTAGGAATATTGTCAAGCTGAAACACCAGTTACGTTTGGAAAGCGTGTGTTCTTAATATTTAAATAAATTCACAAGTACACTGGGGAATGTGTGACGAATCTATCTGTATTTTATGAGTTCTAGTCAATACATGTCTAAAGTTACTGTTTGTCTGTATTTGCAACCTGTGGGAGAATAGATAAAGATTAGGATTCAAATATGCTTTTAATCAAACTGTCACATTCGTATAAATAGTGGATTATACGTCTAAACTACAGTAAATAGGTAATTGAAATATAACAGGCTTTTCTTTGCCTCTCTTGTGACCTTGGAAAATCGATCGTACAAATAAGTTGATGAAGGCTTACTAAAACTGTCGTTGAACGAATCAAATAGTAATTATCGCTTAAAACGGACTCTACGGAAGCAGGTTGATTTTTTGTCAGGTCGTAGATACGCTGTCCACTTTCCCAATTTCTGTTTAATGCTTAAATACTGCCATGCATTCACAAGAGATCACTGAAATCTTAAATATAGGTTCTCCAAATACCGAACATATTAGTAGCGTAGTTTTACAGCGTCTTAGATTTGCTTGCTGTTTTATTTTCATTGTGATGCAAAAGTTGGACCTGGCAATTTTAAATTTCACCATTGACATAAAATTTGGAACACAACCGTATAATTGCCTGGTTTCCAAGAGCAAAACAATTCTAGTTTTTACCTCTCTAGGATAGACGTTTTTCACATGGTTTTGTCGGTAATAATATAAACACCTGAAGCAATTTTGTGCTCTAATTGAAAAAGTCTGGTTTTTTTGCTATTTAACTACGATATTAAGAGAATTCAGATTGATATAAAACAGATCATAGATAATAGGCTAGAGAGATAATTTGTGTTCATTTCTTGTTTTAAAGCAGTTTTTTAAAGTTGTTATAAGCACGATAGCTCTGAGTAACTATTTACTTCTTACCCCGGATTCATCACCAGCTGTTACCCACGATCCCACTTTCCAGTTCATGGTTCATATTTTGTAGTCAATTTATGGCAGCCATTCACTATCATTTTTAATCATCCACCTCACTCATATTTTGCGATAGTTTCAAATAACCTTTTGACTTTTCACCCTGTAAACGGATCGTTTTTGAAGAATATATTTTCTTCTGTTCCTAATTTTTCCTTCATAGAAATATAATTTTGATGGTGCAGTCATAGAAATATGGGCACAGTTCTCTGGTGTAGAATTACAATCACTAATAGATTTTATAGTACGACTTTCTGATAATTTACATTCAAACGGCAAGCTTTTTGTGCTCGTTATCCCACCTCCTGTTTACTATGAGTAAGATCTTTTATTTTGTAAATGCGTGCATTATCCTAATTAATCTGGAATTGTTAGAGGTATAGAAGGAAGATTTAAAGAAGAAAATTTTAAAATATTGGCCGATTATGTTGATTATTTTAGCTTAATGACCTACGACTATTCTTCACCTCATAGGTGAGTTTATCTAAATAATAATTTCGTATATTTTTATCTTCTGAAGTCTGGTGAAGTCTAATTAATTATTCATGAGTTTGAAGTTTTTTTTCTTCCTGGAAAATGAGTCTTAGTGAGTTTCATATGAAGTTTAACATTCTGAAAAAAGATAAAAAAGTTAAAGGTATTTATAATCACAAATTTTTTCAAAGCATCTCTTTTGTACAATTACTATGGCTTTTATGGGACGTCGCTTCAATGAAGTGTATGACAAAGAATCCATATTACCACAAAAGAAACTTGAACTTTTTTCCTTCTGCACATGAATGGATTCTAACAATTCAAATATGAATAAATACGGCCTAATTTAGTAACCGTTCAACTGATAATGAATGTAAATTTTCGAAGAATTATGTAAATACTTCTAAGTTTATCAGGCGAAATTTTAAGACTGACCCATGGAAGGAATACTTGTCTTCGTAAATTTATTCCGTCAATTTTACTTGTAATTTGTGCTTCACAGTCGAGCATTTTAATCATTCATCGATCGTTCTTCATCAACACGTGCTTCAGTAATCTGAAGCGTAGTTCTGTTTTCTATTGGTTAATGCCGAGTTACTCAACCTCCAAAACGTATATAGGCCTTCCAAGTGAGTAATTGATCCAGTACCGAGCAACCTTCATCTTACATATGTCTTTATTTATTTCTTATTCAAGTAAACATCTACTTGTGTATCCTTATATCTCCCATCAATTCTTTACAAATGTAATGTCTTTTCAGCCTTTGAAATTTTGTCATCAATAGGCTATGTTCCATAAAAATACAAAAATCTCATAGTTCGAGTTAATACACACTCGGAAAATAAACAACTTTCCACTATCCACTGTAATCCGAGTCAGAAGTTTCAAATGAAATTAATAAAATGAATCATTGATATAATGTTCTTATAATACAGTATTACTGTTTTTTAGTCTAATCAAACTAACCGATGTGTTGTTACCATCTGACTATTCATTTCGCTTGGTTGCTATATATATAACGTGCATAATGATTTTGTTTCACTTCTTGCTGGTAGGTCGTACGTTTAATGAGGATTTTTAAACTATAGTGTACACGACTCTATTTTGGTTGTGTAATTATTATTGCTCTTCTTTTCTCTATAAACCATATAACAGACCTGGGCCTAATAGTCCTTTGAGTTGGGTAGAAGAATGCATTAATCGTTTGGTTCCAAAGAATTCTTTAAACCAGGCAAAATTGCGTAAACAAATTTTAGTGGGTTTAAACTTTTATGGAATCGATTACTTGCCTAAAAAATTAATCGGTGAACCTATTAAAGGCAATGAGTAAGTGTTTTATTTTCCTCTGAAGAATTTCCTTTTCGCTTCATTTTGTTGAAAATGTTTATTAATTTTATTGTTATCCGGGAATGTTTCTCATATCATATTCGTCAGTGGGACTGTGTTTCATTTGTCTAAGCTCTTTACTTCTAACTATTTAATCTACAAATTTGATCCTCAACCTACCCACTCTGACTCAATAAATTGAACTAACCAACTATTACATATTATGAGTAGTTTAAAGTTTAGTGCGTCGACTGTGAATTTATTTTGAAGAAAGTGTAAACAAGGATTTAAGCAGAATAACATGAATTTAATTTATTTATCTAAGTTGTCATCACCTACTACAACCTAGAACGTTTTAAAATCAAAATTATACATAGTAGTTAACGTACTTAGAGAAGTGAACTGTGAATTTTTCATTTCTCTCGATGTGTTTTAATAGTGCCTAGTATTCTTTGGATAGAATTATTAACTTCAGTGTTGGTAAAGTTAACGTACTGATCAGTTATATCAGCTAATTCGAATTTAAACCAAGCTTTCTTTTCCGTGTTCACTGTTCACAAATCCTTCAAGTGGCTAAATAAATTTTCAAATCGAGCCATTGTATCATTACTATCGGTAATTCTTTTTAAGATATAGAATTCAGATCCTAGTGGTAGGATATTCGTTTCTACCTAATTCAGTTTCCCACTGAATAAATTGCAAATGAATTCCTCAGGGTTTTCTGAAGAAACCTCCATGTGATTGCTCCCCTATTAGAGTCTTTGACAGAGATCTATGGAAATTATAGCATACCTTTCTTGCAGGACTATGGATAAAACTAACGCTTTTTATTTGGCACCATATTAAAATCATAAACGAAAGCCGACATTCATCATAAAACCTTAGGTTAGTCACTTCTCTAGATATTCTGCTTGCTAATGACTTGAACTATGTGTATGAAAGTTTTCAAAAAAATAACTTTTCAAAGTCGTTCATGTCACTAGGTTGCTTGACAATATTGGTCTCCACAATAGTTGGTATCGCTAACTAATGCATAACTTTACCAACACTGAAGTTAATAATTCTGTCCAAAGAATACTAGGCACTATTAAAACACATCGAGAGAAATGAAAAATTCACAGTTCACTTCTCTAAGTACGTTAACTACTATGTATAATTTTGATTTTAAAACATTCTAGGTTGTAGTAGGTGATGACAACTTAGATAAATAAAATAAATTCATGTTATTCTGCTTAGACCTTTGTTTTTGCTTTCGTCAAGTTAATAGGGAGAAGTATCTTTTAAAACCTCGATTTACTGCTCAGTTGTATCAGTAGTTTGATACATATTTATTGTTCTGTCCACTAATTTGACCATAGCTGACCTAGTAATTATCAACATATACTTTTCTTATTAGCTCAGTTAAATTTTATCATTAAAAAGTTTCCAACCCAGGTTGAGCATAATTTTTAGTGCTCATCATCTATACTTACTTTTAAACTAAAAAATGTGTACTGTCTGTAATATGAGTTCTAGTGATAATACAGGTTATCCATTTTAACTAAGCACGGGTAAATGGGCTTTGCTTCAAACATGTTCACATTAAAGGTTAGTGACCGAACCAAAGTAGATATCACAATCCCGAGGTTGAAAGTCGAGTTATGTTAGCAATAATGGATTGCTCTACATGTCCTTGTTGGTCAGACTATTTCAAATTTACTACCAAGCTCTTTCTAAACAAATTATTCAACACATGAATATTTAAAAGTATACTAATAATATGGTTTAACTTAACTAAGATCACCGTTACGGTTGTGTATACTAAGTGCTAAACACGAAAGTACAAATATTATAGGTAACTGAGTATTTCGAACAATGCCTAGCGTATTTTAGAATCAGTTTATCTTATTTTGGCAGCCAAATAGTTTCACCAGCCTTCGCACGAAAATTATAAATAGAAAAGTAGTACATAAGCCTATACTTGACAAATGAATTACATTATTAGTATGTAGGTATTATGTTTGCAAATATAAAGTCTCATTCAGTTTTATAAGCTTCTGTGTCTCCGTTTTAGGGGTCTAAAATTATCAAAAACGTCTTGAAATGGATACTTGTGAGCTCATTACTGGCTGGCTTCAAAATGAATTTCTGGTGTTCTTAGTTTGAAAGCGTGATCTATAGGGGTAATCAAAACGGAATCGAAACAACTAGTCGGTGACATTAGATAAAAACCTTGGTGTATCATAAAAGTGACTGAAATTGAAAATACGGACCGTTGGCTTCCCGCCCAGTGGTCCGAAGAAGTCATTTCCGTCCCGAGACCTATATATCCTGAGTTTGATTCAGCTTGGGATGGTGGGTACTCTCTTATAAAAACAAGCAGTTTTTTAGTTCTCCTTGGCATTAAGTGAGTCTTCAGCTGATGCCTGCTTGTAATGACAACCATTTCATATATTTATATATCATTTTTTGTCCGATTATGTAAAGTTAGATCAAAAATGTTGGAGACAAAATCAGGGAACCTCATTCTTACAACTCTTCAGTGTTTTTGCAAAGATAATTATCAGTGAAATACCTCGGGTGACTTCAATGTCACTAACTTCTAAAGCCATTTTTGTTCATTTATAAATTGATACTGTATTTTCTTTATTCTGTTGTTTAGTGTTATTGAAATAGTTGAGAAGTATCAACCGAATTTTAAATGGGACAAAAAATGGGCTGAACATAGCTTCTCTTACAAGTAAGATTATTTTTCTTCTCTTTGCTGAATAAATTCAGTGAAACGATTACCATACGATGGTCATTCTGAAAAGACTATAAATTTTTCATTCCTATATTATATGACTTCAAACTTTCTAAACATTCCATCATTATTTGTGGAAAAAACTTATAATAGTAAAACATTCCTAAAATGGAGTCTGAGACGTCCAATCCAGCAGTCACTGTCATCTTCACTTGGTGACTTTTTATCTAATGTAGTGTTGCTAATGTCATTTATCTATCTTAATTCCTATGTATGCTTTGAATTGGTCTTTAAATTGTTCCTGTTCAGTACATTCATTTTCCTTTTTTTTCACCAGATAAAAAACCTTCAGTGTTCGCCTTTTTCCATAAGATTTCTTTTAATCCTTGAAATTTTTGTAAATCCTTTCTATTCTAAATCGCAGTTCGAGGTATGGCACCCGTTCTCTCATTCGTTGATTTTTAGTTTAATATAGTTGGGAAGGTTCAACCTTCTAAATAAGGTTCATTAAGAGTGGAAAGTTGTCAGTAATTTGAAATATTTAACCTTGTACTTTGTTAGTTAATATCAATAAAAAATATGTCTTTGAGTAACATTTCAAGCTATTTAATCAATATTTCCCCTGTTCTGTTACAAACATGTTTATTTCATTCTAACCTGTTCGTTTTCCGTTGAAATTGTTTCAGAGTACTGCAACTTTAATTTATTCCCTGGTGTTTTCCATCACATGCCAGTTTCCGTTGTTTTTGTCTTTCATTCTACTTCAAGTTTTTTGGTAAATACCTTATATATTTTTTGTAGGGATAAAAAATCGCAAGGTCACTTGGCTTTCTATCCTACCTTGATGTCGATAGCACAACGTCTACAAACTATACTATCCAGAGGTACGGGTGTTTCTATCTGGGAGATAGGACAAGGACTAAATAGTTTTTATTCACTGTTCTAATGTAAAATTTTATATACCGTCATGGCATATATGTGCACTTTTTTATCTTTTGGAAATATATTTTCATACATCGAATTACATTCACTTTTATTGTATATAATGTATAGACATACTTTCGATTGTATGGTGCTGTTTAAACTAAGCTTTTATTTATCTTGTTCCTATATGTAGTTAGATTTTACTGGCTTCATAACAAACGGTTTACCTTCTGGTTTATTTGTCACAAGAGACGATATTTTCACACTTAGACTTGACTATGGGAATCGGTTTGAAACTAGTGTAGCAAAAAAATGTGTACACGGGGTAGTAACGACTAAGTGACCGTGCATCAAATATCTCTTATACCTGAAACACTTAACTAATAGGCTTTAACTAGGTTTGTCATCACGTCACAATGCTTATCGTCTGACAATGAAAACCAATCCCTTGAAATGCTTTGTCTTGAGCTCCATTGAGTAGTTTAGTTATAACTTCACAGTATAAGGACTAAAACAAACATGGAAGTAAGTCTTATTCAAATGTTCCAAACAGAAGGACCACATCATGGGACGAGATTATGGTTTCAAACTGATACTAAGGGTTGAGTTCTACTTGTAATAAAATAAGGATTTCAGCTCAAAAGGTGGATTGGGTATTTCGTGAGGCCTTATTCACTGTATTTCGCACGGCAATTAATGAATTACATTTAGTTTGGACAAATGTTTCGCAGTTTTTCTGGAGATTATTAAATGTATGCTCACAAAATATTCGAATATAGCAGGTGGTTACTATATAAGTCCAGTGTAAACAAAAATTCCTTATGACATGTTGGGTTCCTTTTCAAGAGTGCAAGGACATTATGTTGTTTAACTAAATAGCAGATTACTTATGCCTGTTACTCCCAACGGAGAAGATGTTTGGTACATAATTTCCTCATGTCCTAGTACCATACGTTCACGCGTGTCTCAGTCTTTTACTATCCTTACGATTAATCTTGGTGTTACAGTACTGTCAGTCCTATTCTGTCCACAGTCACAGTTTGGTAAAACATCACAGATTCTATTGAGCAAAATGGGGACATCATAATGGGTTGTTAATTTAGAAGAAATGAAGGGCGGTAAATTTATTATAGGTTTTCGCATTCCCGTGCGCTCAGATTCAGATTTGTGTAATAAGGACAGAAGGCCTACGGCCTAGGTTATTCCTTTTCTAGTATGCTTCTGTGAATGTCCAGTCTTCTCTTGAATGTGTGGGCACCACTGCTTCGGGCAGCAGGTTCCAAGTATTGATGACTTGGTGTGAGAACCTGTATGCCACGGGTAGTTTGTTCGTTCTTGGCTTTTCTACTCGCTTGCTATAACCTCTGAGATGTCCCGATCTAGTGGGAAGAAAAAGAAAAATTAAGTTAGGTCCAAAATCATTTATAAGTATTCTGTACATCAAAATTAAATCTCCCCTTAATCTCTGAAGAGACAGAGTAAAGAGGTCCAGCTTTTCAAGCCTCTTTGCATGGTAAACTCCGGAATTCTGGGATTGCACGGGTCGCTGCTCTCTGTACTTTTCCTAGGATGTCCGAGTCACCTTTTAAACAGAGGCTTTCAGCCTGAACGCAGTTCTCAAGCTTAGTCCTCAGGATGTGTATTTTGTGATGAACATGGTAGTATCTAACTTAGTGAATGTCCGTTTTAAAGCCCAGAGGGTCCGAAACCCCCGGTAGCTGCGACCTACCGGCAATTGGCCATCATCTTAAGATCATGACTCACTGTCACCCCTAGATCCTTATACGACCGGTCCGCGAGTAATGGCACTTCCCCTATGTTGTACCTATTGGCTTTTGAATCTACAAAGTGCATGTAGACACACTTTACCGCATTGATAGGCATCAGCCACTCTTTAGACCAGTTAATCATAATAATTCTGCCTGAAGCCAAAGTTGGTATTTGTTTTTAATGCCATAAAGCAATAATGAACAGTCGTAATCCCTACTGATAGACTCTGTAGTCTTCTACTATCAAGAAAAATGTAGTGAAATATACTAATGGACTTAGTCCCCGTACATACTGTCTATGTGATCGGATGATTTTAACGAAATACATATCCCACTTAACGTCGTAAAGATTTATCGGGTTAATTTGAGTTAATGAAATGCGGAATAAAACAAGTCTAATGTGCAGGTGATGTTTAGATACATACTTCGTATATCGGTTACCGCAGACAGACAGGAGAGGAAAGAGGTGGGTCAGTGACATAGGGCTCATATAAAGACAATCAAGGCTACAAACGAGTAGCTGACAAGGTCAAATATGCACGAATAACCTAAAATGAGTGGGATGATTGGTCTATCTACAGTCTAGAAAAATCCTCGTGTGGTGTGATGCTGATGATTTAATGCAAGGTCACGGTTGTCTATACAAGGTGCTACTACACATAACAACTCGTTTGGAGGTTTGAACTTTTATGTTAACACGAGATATAATTAATTTCTTTCAGCCATCACAGTTTTGATGGATTTATAACTCAAACGGTTCTTGTGTCAATAGTTCTAAGTACAGAATATTCCCCATATATCAGTCCTATTCATAAATGTTAGTGTGAGGTAAAGAGGACTCCCGAACTTAAAAACATATTCACTTGTAAAATGTTTTGCTGTAAACATTTAGGAAATTTTATTCCACGGAGCAGTCAACATAGAGAATACTAGAAATTGAACACTTTTGCGAAGTGCACTGAACGACATAGTTGAAAATAAAGATTATTAAGCTAGATAAATTAACATAAGGGAACATTATAAAGTGTGTTGAGAGTCAGGTTTTCGAAGTAAAAACCCATACCTCATTACAGCTGTCTTTAAGACTCTTGCCAACAGTTCTTGTTCATCTTCGAAACATGGAATTAGATTTTTTCCGATTTGATCATTGTGACGGAAGGAATACGCTGAAAATCCCTCCAAGGCATTTTATTGGGTAGTATTCATTTGTTCATTTTCCCTGTATTGCATTCTAATATTTAGTCAGGTCTATTTTAGCCACACTTGATGTTCTTCAGTCTCCTTTGTCTGGGTTTTTATTGTGTGACCTTGGTTAAAGATTTGCCTCTCATTACTTACTTTTACTGTTGTTTGTTGCTGGACCATTGACAATAAGGTCTTGTTTGACTAAAGTCGATGTCACAGCGTGGTCCAGTATGTGATTATTAAAGGTTGCCTGATTCCAACGATGTAAAAGTTCATCCTAACGCTTATCCCATTCCGAAGCCATTAACAGAGACTGGTTAGCCATAAACCATGGTCTTCAGGCAAGGGGGATTCTCCAGTTATACAGGCCCAAGGTATATTTATTCTTTCTATTCACCCTAAACTTCTGGCAGCTTACACAAGTGCCTGTCTACTCCCTCGCATATTTATTCTTATCAGACCAACGAAATCCCCTTTTCAAGCTTGATGGTCCCTTAATTACTTAGATGAGAGAGCTTGTGCAACGCCTTGGAGACTTTTGTTTCAATTCTATAAGATTGTCCCGTCATGCAACCTCTATTCGATAAGCCGAAACCAGAGTTTCCGAACTGCTTGGTCCTAATGGCTCGACCAACAACGACGATGATGCCACTGACCGTCTGACAGAACAGCACTCTCGGACATTTCAACCAACCCACACTAACTTTACTAATGAAAGCTTCATCTACAACTTCACAGGACTTTCAGAAGCGAACCTGAGCGCTGACTTGGGGTACTGGAAGCTGCCGCACTTAAAAAAGGCGCATCTCATCCGAATATGGTCCATTCCTCTATACTGGTGAAAAAGACCTAGGAGTGTTAGTACCTATCATTTGAACTCCTGCGTTAACTGAGACAGATTGCAAACGTTTCTCCTACTCCTTAGGAGTAGTCAAATGCTGAGATCTACAGCCGGCTGAGCTGATTCAATCGACTTCTCAGGAGTCATTTAAGAGGAAACTTGACATTCTCAAGGACTAAGGATAGTATGTCACTATGAGTTATCGACTTTTTTCTCTCCCTTCTTATTGATAATATACCTAGGTTCCAATGCGAAATCTTCATCTATTCCATCCAAAACCAGTTGCCGCTGAATTTGAGGTTTGTCGTTACTGCTGTTTATTTAGTGATTAAGTTGTTACTGTGATAATACTGTTTCTGATTCCATTATATGAATTCAGTTCATATTCTTAATTTTTCATCGCATGTTATAAGTAGTCTTGTTATTGTTTTACACATATCTGCTCGCTGCTTTTCAAAGTTTTTTGTTATAAAAAGTTTCTTCATAGTTGCATAAAATGTAATTTTGGGAAGAGATGTATTCGTTGCGCGCGTGACTCATTTTAAGTTTGTCCAAACCAACGTTGGACTCAAATAGACCATATTGCCATCAGTCATCGTTGGAGAGGGTCAGTAGAAGATTGTCACTCATTCTGGAGTACCTGCTTGGACTCCGACCATGCCCTAATACGGGCACGCATCTGCTTGCGCCTCACTGGACGCAAAAAAGCCACATTAAAAAGACCCGTTAGAACTGAGTTAAGTAACGAGAAAACCAGAAGTAGGTTCCAGGAACAACTGAGGTCACACTTAGGTAGTTGTGAAGACGAGGCTGACCCAGATGTTGCTTGGAGGGGCATACAATCAGCTGTGGAAACAGCAGTGACATCTACCAATGATTTAACCCGCAGGGTTACAAAAAATCAATGGATTTCCTCAAGGTCTATTGCACTGATGAATTCTCGTAAACTCATCCCATCAGGCTCTGAACATGATGAAGAGCGAAAACAAATCAGATCTACGTTAACCAAAAGTCTAAGAAACGACCATGAGCAATGATTGGCAACGAAAGCAAAAGAGATGGGAAAAGGCGGCGGCTATAGGGAACACAAGACAGCTCTACAGACTAATAAAAGAAACTGAAATTGAAAAACCTAGTGTAAGTCAGACTATTTCGGAAAAAGACGACACTTTGATCTGCTCCCAGTCCAGACGTTTAGAACGATGGGCGGAACATTTCAGAGAACAGTTCAGCTGTCCTTCAGCTACTTTACAACTACCCTCCATTCCCAGACAGTGTGAATGGAACATTGAAGTAGGTCCCCCAACTCTAGCAGAAGTTCAAAAGGCTATAGTTATTCTGAAACGAGGAAGGGCAGCTGGTCCAGATAGACTGGTTCCAGAGGTCTTTAAGGATGGTGGTCCAATTTTTGAGATTAGGTTGACTAATATTTTAGCTAAGAGCTGGGAGTTAGACGTTATCCCATCTGACTGGTCACAATCACTTATCATCCCAATATATGAGAGAGGGTTAAAATCATCCTTGGACAACCATAGAGGGACTAGTTTAACTAATATAGTATCTAAAATACTAGGCTCAATAATTATCGGCCGCCTAACTAAGACCCGTGAACTGCAAACACGAAAGAATCAAGCTGGCTTCAGACCTGGTCGTGGCTGCATAGACTACATATTCACCATTCGTCAAGTTCTAGAACATAGGCAAACTTATCGGCGTCCAACAATGGTGGTCTTTCTTGACTTAAAAGCAGCATTTGACTCCGTAGACCGCGAGATTCTGTGGCAGTGTCTGTTATTGAAAGGTGTACCTCAGAAGTACATAAACCTTGTGAAGGCTCTTTACTCGAACACTACCAGTCGAGTCAGAGCTTATGGCGAACTGTCATCTGTTTTTGCAGCCTCAAGTGGTGTCCGTCAAGGCTGTCCACTTTCTCTTTTTTTGTTTAACTTCATCATAGACCTACTAATGGAAATAACATTCTCGTCGACTGAATTCTCGGGCATTGATCTCCTACTAGGAGGTCCACTTATCGACTTAGAATACGCAGATGACATAGTCCTGTTTGGTAAAGACGCTGACAAAATGCAGAGTCTTCTGGTAGCACTGAGCAACAATGCCAGGATGTTTGGAATGCACTTCTCTCCCTCTAAATGCAAGTTGTTGCTTCAGGACTGGTCTGCGTCAACACCTGAACTAAGGATAGGGATTGAAGTAGTTGAACGCGTTGACAACTTCACTTATCTTGGAAGTCTGATCAGCCCTAATGGGTTGGTATCGGACGAAATCTCAGCATGGATTCGAAAAGCTCGTTTGGCTTTTGCCAACTGACGTCACCTATGGCGAAGGCGAGATATCCGTCTATCAATAAAAGGACGAGTATACTGCGCGGCAGTCCGTTCTGTTTTAATTTACGGCAGCGAAACATGGCCATTAAGAGTAGAAGACACTCACTCGTAAGCTACTAGTATTTGACCATAGATGCTTCAGAAATATTGCCGGCGTCTGCTGGGATCACCGGGTAAGTAATAGTGAGGTTAGACGCAGGGTATTAGGAAATGATGATAAATCAGTCGATGAGGTTGTGAATCTTCATCGACTGAGATGGTTGGGACACGTGTTACGTATGCCTGAACACCGATTACCACGACGTGCAATGCTAACGGGTGTTGGAAATGGTTGGAAGAAAGTTAGGGGCGGCCAAACCAAAACGTGGCATCAGTGCTTGAAGTCACTAACTTCTAGTCTGAGCCGTGTTGGGAGATGCAGACTACTTGGTTGGGGTCCCCTTGACTATCATGACCAATGGCTTGAGACTCTTGGTGACATAGCTCAGAATCGATCACACTGGCGTTGGTGTATACACTCTCTGTCTTCTCTCAAATTAAGAGATTAAAATCGCTTCATATCTTTCTTTCTACGAACTGGTTCTTTCTTCCTGTAATATATCCCTATACACAATCTTCCTTTTATATATTACCACCTCTGAATTAACTACTTTTATGAATCCGGTGTCCATCTTGTTTTGTTAATGAGGTTGGCAACTTCGACCGATGCATAAATGTGCCTGGTCCTACGTTGTAGCTGACTGACTGAAAATACCTACGAATAGCCCATCATACCCTAAAGCCTTTGGTAGCACCTGCCTTGTAGTCGCTCGTGGTTTGGTGCCGCTGCTTATTACGAATCCTAAATCTTTGTAGTACATTACTTTGGATAACGCAACTCCACGCATTGTGTAGTGATACAAACCATATTTAATTGCATCACCACACTTGTTAGAATTCAATTCGAGTGGTCATCCTCCCAACCATGCCACCAGTAAATTTAGATCATCTCGTAATACTATTCTATCTGACATACTATGTATGGGTCTCCAAAACTTTCTAGTTTTAATCTAAGACCCGAATGGGTGACCTTGTCAAAGACTTTATTTAGATCTATGGAAATAACATCTACAGAATATTTCCGTCTTTTGCTGCAGCATAATATTCTTTTGCAATGAGCAGATTTTCAAGCATGATAGGTCTTTTCGAAAGCCATGTTGTTCACTGGATAAGAGATGATGCCATTTTACGTAGTTCATAACAGCCATCTGTATAATTTTTTCCATTATTTTGATAACTCCACTGGTTATACTAACGGGTCAATAGTTACTAACTAACTCTCTGCTCCCTGCCTTATGCACCGGATTAATTATTGCGTCTTTCCAGTCTCTTGGCAGTGTGGACTGCCTAAGAGACATATCACACAGTATGGCTATAGGTCCAGCAATTAGATCCGATAGGGCTTTCATAATCCTAGGTTGCATATCGTCAGGACCACTGGGCTTATCAGGTTTAAGATGTTGATGTAGTCTTAGGACAGCACCTTGCTCAATAACTATAGGACCCATCAACAAACCGCCCGTCACAATTAATCGTTTGTCGTTCCTCATTGCTGATAGAAAACACTTTACCAAAATATTTTGGTAAAGCTTAAGCTTTTTCGGCATCAGCTCTTGCCAATATCAACGGATCTTCTTGTACCAAAAGTGATGGAATCCATCTCTTCTCTGAGTTCGCCTCTTTACATACGAAAATAACCGTACCTAACTATTTTTACAATCCCTAACCAATTGTTCTTCATATAACTGTCGAATCTTACTTATCAACGCTTTACAAGCATTCGTAGTCTTACAACAACTGGATCTGTATTATTCTAAGCCAATTGAGATGAATATATTCCAGTACGTTTTCCTACGTCTAAGAAGTCTCTTAACTTGTTTAGTTATCCTTGGTGGACAGTTATTCGGTTTATGTGGTACTATGCATGGTATAAACGAGGACGTAACTGAACTAGGCTTGCCTTTAAATATAGACCATGCTTCTTTGACTGGTGAGCTAGTATCTATTGACCAATCCGTCTTAGTAGCACACTCCTGAATGGCTGATATGTTAGCTCTCCATACATTTGGGCGAGGCTTAACCTGACTATATATCATGTCACTAGCTCTAAATATGAGTGACAAAACAGCGTGATCGCTATTCACCAACGGTGGAAGAATATCTAGATTGGCAATATCCTCAGTCGTATTAGTGACTACCGAGTCGAACAAAGAAGAACCTTGGTTTGAACCAAAACGTGTGGGTTTGGATACATGTTGTACTAATGTATGCATCATCACCGTTATCAAGAACCTACTATCAAGGTTTATAGATCCTACCGTGACCATATCAGTCCAACTAATATCAGGTGCGATAAAGCCTCCTAATATTAAGCATCTGTTATTTGCACTCAGCTGAATGTGATCTAAAATAAAGTCATCAGCTAAGTAGATTGGTTTACGATAGATGACATCAAGTATGAATGTATAAAATCTGATAGTGAGCTCACAGATAATGACTTCACAAGTTCCACTATCATGGGATTCGCAGGCAAAGGGGCGGATATTTATATTATTGGCTACGTATAAAAGGATGCCACCTCCTTTCCTACATCTATGTCTATCACTTCTTAGGTAGTGGTATCCCGATAATTCTGGAAAAATGTCAAAGTCGTGGGCTAACCAGGTTCATAGAATTTGCAAACGCCATTCTATAATAAAAAGCATGTATGTCTTCACTAAACATCAGTATGTTCGATTTTCATTTTATCATGAATGAAAGATAAGTCATAAGAAATTGATTGAAATCAATCTCTGCAACGTATATGTTGATATTACACTGAATCCTCAGTTTCTATTTTGTCACCGGTCGTTGTATTGTGTATTTCACAATGCTTAGTAGTAATGCCTGTTTCTGCATGAGTGTTTTATTGCACTTCTCGTTATTACAATGAATTATTATTACACAAACTCGACTATTGTTCAATATTTTGTTTTAAATTATTTCGAATTATATTTTAATCAGTTTATTTTATAATGTGTGGATTTTTAATGCATCAGTCACTATCAGTTTTCTAATTCCTTTTAGATTCATTTTTTAAACTATTAACTATCCCTCTAACAATGGCTCCTGTTACCCTTCAAATGTATCTGCAAGATGTAAGTTATCCGGCAGTGAATTAACTAAAAACTTCCAGGTTAATAATTGTATCAATAATCGAAACGGTAGAGGATTGAGTGTAAGTTTTTAAAACGGGAATTTATTATTTTATGCACATGTAAACTAGCACTACCTTATGTGTAGTGATCCTCATGTATATAATTCTCGTCTAGCAGTACCAGACCCAGAAAATATTGCTGTGTCGTACCTTGTATCACCTTGGGATGAGATCGTTTCTGCTCATGTGAGGTAAAATAAAATAACTAACCGCGTAACTTGTAAAACAACCATTTTCAGATGTATATGGGCAATGCGTAACCGTGATTTTGAAGAAGCCTATGCTTGTCAAATAGTATTAGTAAAATATCCTTTAAAAATTATTTATCAACCTGTAGCTTAACAATCTTGATAACTAAACTTAAACCAGTAGATCACAACCTCAAATCTTATTTATTATACTCTTTTGAATATCTAGGAACTAATGAGATAAATGCCTAGCTGATAAGCTGTTTCACTAAACTACGTGTGTTTAGTAAGTTTCAACTTTTTTCGTACTTGATTCTATCGTATACATAACAGATGTTTACACTCAATGCGCACCAATCCTTGGGTTGTGTTATAATTCACTGAGAACTGTGGAAGCTGAGCTCATTGATTTGAGTATTTGGCCTTTAACCAGTCAATCTTCTGCTTGCAATAAAATTCACTCAATGAAGTTTAGGTAGGGTAGTTTTGTCACCACCTCTCGTATATTTATTCCATAGTCTATTGTATTTATCTTTGAATGTCTTAGAAGTGATTCCTAACAAAATAGCTTCACATGTTTGGCGAATGATATTAGCAAGCTTATTTATTCTTTTTATTAGTAAGTGATTAATCTTCCAACACTGAATATGTGCAATTATTATTTAAACTCTTGTGTTTCTACTTCTACACTCAGTGTGGTTCTTCAGTGTATTTCGTCCAGATTATTTCTTGTTTCCAATTACGTAAGAAGGATTTGAAGTGGATCTGTTTGGGCCCGAGAGAAAGTGCAATTCAGTGGCCTGAGACGTTATTAAACATGGCTCAGAATAGAAGTCAGTGTCGATCATGCTGTAATGTTTTACTGTTTTTCCAAAATGAAAGAAACTTCCGCAATTAAAAGGGCTCTTTCCGGTTGCATTTTTATTAACGAAACTGGTTTTCGCACTATATACCACTCTCGTTGACTTATTTTTATCCATTTAAAAAAAATACTACTCACCCTTCTTCCTCTGTCTCTTCAGAATCTCATTTTCTTGTTATATGATCCATATTTATTCCGGTGTTTATCTGCACCAATATTTACCTATTTAAACAAATCAGTGTGATAAGTAATCATGGACAAAGGAAAATACAGCAACATGATTGTTTCATTTTTACTGTGTGAAATACGATTGGGAAATTATGTTAATTATTCCTCTCCAAAAAGGAGTTTGGTGTAATTTAGAAAAAAGATGCCATTTCTTACGCAGTAATAAATTAAAAAGTGGATAAAATAGTTTCAAACAATCGATTTTTAATAATTCGTAGAAATAGTTTATTTATTCAGTTCTTTTAACGGATTGCTTTCGCCTTAACTTTTGATATTGATAACATTTTGCGAATCTCTGAATAAACGACTGTTGCCAAAGCACTCTCTGAATTAAAAGATGACAACTGGATTTTACCTGTTGTACATGTAGCTGCTATTGATTTAAGAAGGTTCGCTCACGGTTTGGACTCAAGATTCACACCACAATCGGATAGTTTTCGAAATCAAGGAAGAAGGATGGAAAATGCTGCTCAACTTATTTTAAGGCTATTTCAAATATGTGCAAGCGATAGGTAAGTATTTTACCAATATGAACTATAATTTAGTTTAAATGGGTTTTTATAGTATGAGGAGAAATTGTCAAGTCCTCTCCTCGATTATTGGTTTTATTTAATATCAATAATGCTAAAAAGATTCAAATCTAAATTTATAAAACAAATGTTAAATTTAGTAAGACTATTGGATAGGAAATAAACAACTAAAAGATAGAATATAGTACCAATTGAAAACCTCAGGTTGAACAGAAGATGGATATAAATGGGCGACGTTAGTTGATAATCGTGACATGTCTATGTTGAGAAATACAATCTTCCAGGGATGTTGGATCAGGACCAGAAACATTTTAAAATCCATGTTTTAAATTTCTTGAATTGAGTGTTAAATATAGAATACGATGTCGCAAAACTTGCAGCGTTAGTGCTTGATTCTCAAAAGTTTCGCAAAATACCCGTCGATTTTACACTATCGTTGTGGTGTCATAATTTAAGATTGTATGGAGTTGTAATACGTTGTCTTTTTAGGCTTTTAGTTGTAATATGTTTATGAAGAAACTATGTAATTCTTTTCCGAAACTACTTAGTTATCTTGTATACATAATAAATTTGCATCATAATCCACATTAATTCTTGATCCAGAACCTGATACATGTAGCTGCGTACTTCAATGAACTGTAAATATTATATTTTTCAGTAGCAATTATTGAGTATTGGTTAGCGACTGATACTATATCGTCTAGTTCCTAGTTCTGGTTGTATACTGTTTCTGCTGCTTTGTGGCCACTAATTTAAGTGATTCGATATCTTGTGCACTGTCTAGATACTAAGTGGCTGTACGCAGTCTGTAGGGTGCTCTGGATTTAGGCCTTATCCACTTTTGTCCGTAATTTGCTCAAAGGACTGATCCCTGTTTTGGGAGTTTAACCCACGTCAACTGGCACGAACTCTAAGTCCATTGTTTCCTGCTAATAGCCTCCAATTACTTAATATCAAAATTAAGTTTAGTTTCTTTTTCTCTACTTTTTGTAACACCATGTTGCCTCTATATACCTGACTCTCTTGTTGAATTCTTATTTTAGTCGTGCACAAGTTGAAGATTCGAAAAAACTGGGTATGATGGGTTTAGCCAATCAACTGTTTAAAATTTACTTCCAGGTATGCATAATATTTGACAAATAAAACGAGAGAACACTTTATTTTATCCCTACAAATTATTTTTTAGATTAACAAACTGAATTTATGCAAATCTATGATCCGCGCAATCGATAATTTAAGTATGAATGATCATTTTAGTCTGGCACAACGTGTAACGTATTGTTATTATGTTGGAAGAAAAGCAATGTTCGACGGTGATTTTGTGTCTGGTAAGTTGTATGAGAATTTATTTGAGTTCTCAACATGTATAAATTACACCTACTTTCCTTAAAAAAATTCTGCTCAAGTTAATGTTGTTATCGACACTCTAATACAAATCATAGCTTAACACTAGTCATAATGATTTTTTCGAATCATTTATACGCTCTTGAAAAATTCTTAGTTGTCCTTAATAACAGATAAAGCAATCAGAAACACACCTGTATTTACGATTTTATGATAAACGAATTCCATGAAGTGCTAAATTTTACTGAACGTAGTTATTTAGTTTATAACTTACATACTAAGTTAGATGACAGTCACATTGGGAAATCGTAACACAAAATCTATTTCTGTTCAGATCATTATGAACACCTTATAGTCTAAATAGTATGCAATTATAGTGCAATATAAAATATTTCGGAAGAAACAGTGACCATTTATCTTATCTTGATATAAGTACATAAATTACAATTGAGTTACCGAGCTACATTGCCATTAAATCTTATACAACAAGTTTGTCTTAATCTACTTACGTTATGTCGACTCCATGTTTATCAGTATTATAGGTTACGTGATTATTTTATGTCCTTTCTAATGTTTGTTTATGCTTTCGTTTAAATTTCAGCCGATAAATCATTGACTTTTGCTTTTGAGCGTTGTTTAACGACGAAATGGAATAACAAACGTTTAATATTGATTTATTTAATTCCTGTAAAAATGTTACTGGTAAGTTGTATTTTTTACTATTTACTACTTTTTTCTTACTCGAATATCTATCCTCATACTTGCTGAAATCTGAAAGAGTATCTACTTTACTAGGTGAATTTTTGTGCAGTTGGCTTCCATCCACACTATAAGAGTGATAGCTAATCATAATACCCAATTGTGTATAACGAAATAGGTTTAGTGGGGTTTGAACCCTCAGCTTAGTGGCTACAAATAAGACGGTTCAACGATTAAGCCACTGCCTCACTCCATCGTTCAATGCTGAAGTTAAAAAACTAATCAATAACTTGGTCGATTGGTCTTTAAGTGGTCTCTTTTTGGGCTAGATTATTTTGTTAGAGGTCCAGTATTAAAAACTTATATATGAAGCAAATACACTAAATGACCATATCACCTAGTTTAACGGTTCGATTGAAACCAATAGTCAGTAAATCTCAACGTTTTAAACTCACAGCGTTACCACTATTCAGTGATTAATCTTTTGTGTACTAATCAAAGTATTCATAGCATTGTTATTTTATTACACATATGACTGAATTAAAAAAAAAACTTTTTCTCTTCTCTGTTTAGGGAGTACTACCCAAAGAAAGTCTTTTATGTAAATATAATTTGAAACAATTCCAAGACATTGCTGATTCAGTCAAGTAGATTTGGACAAAAAACTCGTGCATTAATGTTTTATTTTAGAACAGGAAATTTACGTAAAATGGACTCTGCCTTAGAAGAGCACGAAGCCTTTTTCCTATCTTGTGGTGTATATTTGATATTGGAAAAGCTCAAGTTGACTGTTTATCGAAGTTTATTTAAACGAGTGTAAGTTTTTTTCACTCTTCTTTTTTATTTTTGTTATGAATTTTTCGGTTTCCATCTTTTCTGTTGTTTATCTGTTCTCTCATTCAATTTTATAGTTGTCATATTATGAAGACACATCTACTACCGATTGAAGTGTTTACAGCTGCACTACATTTAATGGGAGTAAGTTTTTCTTTTCTACTGCCTGTAACTTATGTGTTTTTGACTGTTGTCCATAGTTTTTCTTGAGGAAAAGGTATTGATATAACCGAATGGATTGGTCTAATAATACGGATAAATTTCACTTATAAACATACAAATACACAACCAATATGATAACTCGCTTGAATATTTTGTCTTATTAAACCATGAGAATATCAAAAGACAACACCTGATCTGTAATTGTGAAGAAGAATAATCCAGTTAAACTACTACTTTTCATGTACATTTTTTATAAATCTAAAATTACAGTGGCAATATTATTAAAATGATTTAATATTGATTAGTACAACGCCAAATTGTGTTTCAGTATAAATAAAATCTAGAATGGATAAATTTTTACCTCATCAAATAACAATAGTCTAGTATGTTTACTTCTAACCTAGCCAGTTCTTGTCGGAAATCTAGCTATGTCGAAGACTATTTTCATCATACAAAGGTATCCATTAGAGAAGTATTGAATTGTGTTTCTTTCTGATTTCCAGTTTATTCATAGAATATATTTGCTAAATGGTTTCTGAAATGGACCTTCTATTTCCTCAAGATTTTCAGAGTAGATAAACTTAATTTAAATCAGTTTGTAGATATCGATTACCAATAATTTTCTACTACTTACCTTTATAATATATGCATCCATCTCTTAAGTTATCATCTGTGACTATGCCTTGTTCATGTTACCTGGTAATTCACGTAAAGGTCTCTAAAATAATTCACTGATAAACACTTATTACTGATTATTCATTTTGCTCTAAAACTAAATTAATATCAGTTGTTAGATTTCAATCGTGTAGCGACTACGTTTCTCCTAAAAATGAAAAGTAATGTATTTCATCCTGGAAGTGATCAAAAAGTGTATCGTAGTGGCTAATCTGCTACTAGTATATTTATCGAGTGCCGTTTTCATTCATATCAGCTGGTGGAATTTTTTTTCTCAATCTGTTTTCAATGGTAATACGACTATGTTGATGCTAAGGTTCCCAACCATAATCACTTGGTCCGTTGAAAATATCTATTCTTCTTAAATGACATCCAAAGAAAAAACTTGTTAATTTCACTGACGTGATTTATAAATTTCTGTTAATTATTATTTAGTATGCCAGTAGCTATATTTCAACTTCCATCATGCCATACACAATGTACATGTTCCTAATTCATATGACATCTTGTTTTAAAATTACATAGACTTTATAAAGTCCTCAAACTAGACGTTTACTTAACAATTTGTTCAGAAACTTTCAAATAAGTGCATAATATATTTAGTATGATTGTTGCATCTTCTATAAAAAGGTTAATTTTAAAGCCGAAACTAATCACTTCATCACTAAATGGCTTTATTGTACAGCAAAACGTCGAATTGAGGGATTTAACTTGACACACTAATATTATTATTCACTGAACAATTATTTCAGAAAATCGTTTCATTGTGATAAACACAAATGAACAGTCATTCGATAATATATAACTTTTACTTTTATCCTTGGTTAATCATTCGTCGTTCTATGAGTAGCTTAGTCAACAGACTATCGGGATTAAATATTTTAAGCATAAATGTCAGCTTAAATTCTTTTAATATGTGTTCATACATTCTCAGTCAGTTCTATCATTTGAAATCTTTTACATTAAGATCCAAGGATCGGTCCCGCCACTTTAGTTACGTTATTGAATCTATCAAACTTGCATGATCTTTTTAGAAGTCTGATTAGTTCAAATCTATTTACTATGTAACAATTTCGTATTTGAACAGGTTGAAGATATAGATCCAGACGAAACAGAGTGTATTCTGGCCAATCTCATTCATGAAGTAAGTAGCATCTAATACCATAATTCGAATTTTTTTCATCTTCTTTAATATATAATCACTTCAAACGAGCTTTTCGAAGCAAAATTCATGAGTATAATTAAGAACTGTGCTAGCTAATGGGAATGTTTCATTTCATCTCCATCCACGGAGTCAATATGAGTGGGAGCTCAACTTTCATCTAAACCTTACATGTGACGAAATCATATGACAGCATTTAAATGGTGATAATGATCTTTTGCTGGCATATTTCAATCGTCCAGCAATGAAATCTTCGTCTTCAGAATAATTTCCTACTACTTTTGCAGTTATTGGATAAATAATTAAGCTCGACAGGGAATCCCAAACCAAAACTTCGTGCTATTTGGTACTTATCAACATGGTGTACCCGTAATCTTCAGAAGACAGGTGCTTCCCAATGGGTTCGACCATATGTCATTCAGCTTCCTAGTCTGAGACATTACCACTGAGCTATTCGGGCTGCGACTGACCTCCTGTAGGACTGAGATATTTACGACTGATTGATCACTGAGTAGTGGACAATGCCATGTTTGTTTAGTTCTTTTAGCGCTGATCGAATTTTACCGATTGGGTTATAATATGGGTGACACGGAATCAAATTTGCCAGAGGGTGTCAGCCACTTCGATATTACAGATATACCTTAATAATGAGTGTTAAATAATACAAACCCTAGGTCGGGATTTCCTGTTGACTACCTCTAACCAACTAATACCTCAGCGTAGTGTACACGATATTCAGTCACCTAGGCTAGTGGTCACATTGCTATCGATGGAATTTACTCAGCACTAAAAGGACTAGAAAAACATAACGTTAGTCACTACTCAGTTCATCTAATCGGTCTCCTAAAATGATATTATCTACTTAGATGCCTAACATACTCCAAGAAATATATAAGTTAATGACATGAAAACTTCGAAACAATCAAGAACTATCATTATATACCAAATCCATAATATAGCCATAATTTATCTTCAATAAAATATAGTCTATATCCCATTGAATAAAAGGAAATGTTATATAATTCCGTAACCAAGATTTCTGTACTCGGCTTTAAGTCACATCTTTCTTATGATAATCCATAATGCAAACTAAAGCAGACGACATGAATTTGGAATCCCCAACTCAATGATCAGTACTAGGCTGCTGTAACTGCAAAGACAGCTTTTGATTTATGATCTGAACTACCTTTTTTAGTGTTTCTGTATTCATGTTACAAAAATTTAAAAACATTCAAATCAAACATCTATTTCTCAAATTTCCAAAATTTAAGCAGAAGTTACATGGCCAATTAAAGTACAAAATACCTAGTTTTATATTCTGAAATCAGTTAACTCATCTATCAAAAATATCTTTCACAGGGATATTAGGTTTCCCATTTCAGCCATGTAAAAATACTGTTATCACAAAATTAAGTCTGTTGTCGTACAAATCACACAGTCAAACTTAAGTGAATACCCAAATTGCATTTGATTGAGTTCTAGACTTCATAAAATTATCTATTTCTAGGTCAAATGGTCCTTACTGACGCAAACATCGTATTTTAAGATTTGCTCATAATTATCGTACACCCTAACATCTAATACAATGAATGATACTTACTGAAGGGTAATATATTCTTGTTAGGAAATGTCAACACATTGACAATTTAGTATTTAATGAGAATCTTGAATTGATCGGTTGCGCGTAATTTGAGCGGCCTGAATATTTCTATAATAACACCTCTCACTGCGAAGCTGAGTAGTGTGTATACATTTAAAGAAGAAACATGGGTCCGTTCAAGATAGCAGATACTGTTTACTGATAATTTTAGCGATAAAACCGACATTATTTGTAGAATAACCCAGATCGGCAACAATAACTCTTTCCTCACTCAGTTTTCGGAAGGAACCACCTGACTCATAACTGTGAAGAATCATTATCTAGTAAAAACACAACTTGATATGCAGTTTTATCTAACCAATCCAATGTCAGACGAAAAATTCTCAGAATAACGTATACTGATTAATTCGACAACAATACAAATTGCCTATCAAGGTTATCCACACTACGTGATAGGCTGGATGCACTCTGAAGTAGGAGAAACTTCTATTGCATCGGACTTAAATTGTTAATTTGTAATTTTAACAATAAGTTTGAAAAGTAAATTTAGAACGTTCTTCCAAATAACCTTAAATAGTCAACGCTAAAACACACCATTTTGTACATTATTTCTTCTTGTTTGTAGGGAAAAATCAAAGGTTATCTGGCACATCAACAACATAAATTAGTTGTTAGCAAATTGCAACCATTTCCTCCGCTTACAAGTAGTATGGCTAGCAGTTTAAAATGAACTTCTATCCATTATACTGGATTATGTCATCAATGTTACTATTTTATACAAACAAATATTTTGTACAAAGTTTACCAAATCTAATTGTAAAGTGTATAAATACATTTTTTTCATGATTAGTGTTCTCTACTACTGTTTGTTATTATAGTTTAGTTGATATCAAAGAAGTGGAATTTAGATTGTTAATTCATGAATTTAAAACCACTTCAGAGTTCATTTCTAAACAATATTTACAAATCAAAGAATCATTCGTGAACTTTTACATGAGTACCACGTAGTATTCTATTAATATTACTGAAATTTTTGAAGAACCGTAACATTGTTTTTACTTTGGATTCAGTGAGAAAAATATTCATATAGTTTTAATGAATTTTGATGGCAATATTTATGTGTTATGAACATATGTAACCCCACGTATCTAGGAGTTTAAGAACTCAAGTAAACTATGTAACAAGACATACTACTCTGATAAGTTAAAGCATCTTATCACTACCATCTTCATTGTGTTTCACTTCACTTACATTAGTGCAACGCTATCGTTTTAATTATTTCAAACAAGTATCATTTATTTGTACATATTAATAAATGTGTAGAGATATGGCTTGATGGTATTAGAATTTGATTCTCAACCAACTGAAATTATAATCTCAGTAGACTTCATCTATCTTGGTTTAGACAACACGATTCTATCTGTAACCACAAAATACGTACTGATCTAAGTGGAATGTTTGTTCGTTTGTACTTGATTATATAACAATTACTCAAAATGTATCTTCAGACTTGAAGCACGAAAATTTCCATGATTATTAAGCTGGATATTGAAAAAAAGCGTGTAAATATTTATGTAAGTACATATTATCCTTTATATTAAACAAAAGCAATAATAGTTAATTAACTGTACATGGAAATTCTGTGGATAATATGATTTCAAGTGCATTCAAATATAATAATAAAGTGATTTATGCACTATTCTTCAAAAAAAGTTCCAAATTTCAGTCTATTGTAAGAAAATTCAAAATACGCACCACGTATTTTTAAACAAGATTTAAAACGAAACCAGTCATAATGACTGTCCTTGCATTACGAACAGTGCGAAAGGAAGACATCAGTCGTGTATCTATGTTTAGTAGAGTGAGATCAAAGGGGTGTGCAATTAAATATTCAAAAAAAAAGAAAAACACTGTGCACAGCTATATTATAAAAAATATATAGTTACTAGATAATAAGAAATAACTTTTTTTATATACTATGTGTGGATATTCACAAATGTATTATGAAAAAGTAAAAATGGAGTAAATAAATGATGTACATAGAATGTTTTGTTCCTAATATAAATCACAAATCTCTGTATTGCAGTAGAACTTTTGGTTTCTTAGGCAACTCTGAAGACGATTCTAAAGACTGGTGTTGTTGTGTTTGTTGATTACGATCAGCTTCACCTATCATAGAACTGAAGAATTGTTCTCGTAATAAAGCGGATTTACTCATATTCGATGTTTTATGGTGGTCGAATATTGGGATGGACTCAGTACAATTACTAGCCATACTATTTATATTATAACTACTATTCGTTGATGGCATAGATTTTTGATTGTTTTCGGATTTTGAACTTGTATTTAACCTAAAAGCAATAAAAAGGTTTAATAAGATACTTTCAGTCGAATTAAATTAGTCTTTGTATAATAATTATTGTTAAATTTCTTATTTCCTACTGCATGACGAAGCCTGTCGATAGGATAAAATTCGATCAACACTAAATATTAGACACTGCTGTAATAATGGTTGTTATTTAGGAATAACCGATGTGTACTTGATCTACTGCAGAACATAGGCTCAATCTTTTTATCATAGAAGTATCAAGTCTGGCCGCATCATTGACCGATACTGGTTAAAGTCGCCATGGAAACGGAAGTGCCTTGGAGATTGTATACGTATATTTTCTTGATAAATAGTATGTGATTTATGTCCAAGATTCTATTCATTTAAGAATAAATACAGTGAATTATAATATTAAGCCAACCAGCTTACCGACAAAATTTGATCTCGGCACCCAAAAAAAACAATTGTTATTCGGTAAGTTGTCAACTAATAACCTTAAGGAATAACCAGACAAAGTATTACGTTTCTAAGATAAATTAATAAAGCAAACAAGATGTTTCAGACTAGGGTGACTGACACCAGTCAAAGTACTTAATTTGAACAGAAAATAATATTCACAAATGCAATTAACTCCAGAATTTTTCTACCATCTGTTTCTATAATATTCAGAATAAAGGGTTTTTAGCTTAGGAGTTTGTATAAATTGTTAGATTTGGTAGTTTTATATCACTTGTTGATCCTAGACAAGAAATCAAAGCCCGAAATCGTGGGCAGCTTTTTTGTCCTAGTAAGACACTCCTCACTGCACATCCACGGTCCCACTACATACCGAACCTAGAACTATCAAACCTCGATGCGATTTGCTTACCTACAAACCACTGGGGTTACATAATAGAACGAAACAATTGTTTAATAATCGTTGATTTTGTTAGTTAGGCTCAATCCGTGATATGAAACTACAGACGAAAATTTATTTGGCTATTGATTTTTCACTAAATTTCTCTTAATCAAAAGGTAAATTTGAGGAATACGGATTCATTCTCTACAAAAAATGCTAACAGTTAAGGATGAAAAGATATGCTGCTCAAATGTTCCTCTCATACTATTTTCCAGTTAAATGGTCTAACAGACTGCTATCTAACTATGAACAAATAAAGTATATTTCAGCCGAACATTTTACCATCACCTAGTTAATTCTGTCATACTTTAACAGATCACTTACTCGAAAGATTTTCCTGTATGTTGGATATAAGTAGGGTTGTTAAAATATTTGGAATTATTCAATCCAACGGTACCACTACTGGTAGGATTAACATCACATCTATTTGTCGATGGATTGTTTATTATTTGAGTAGACTGACAACTATTAGCATTACTACTAGCCATACTATTCAAAGCACGTTGCACGTATATAGGATCATTGAGTTTATTGTAACACAACGATAAGGATCTGGATAGACATGGTTTCGGTGAACTTGTTCTGATATTAGTTGGTGCTAAACAAGACAAGAAAAATAAATTAAATTTTCCAAATTATATGAATTATCCAGAGTCTTGGGGCAAGATACACTATTGAAAAATCAAAATTTTTAAGAGTCATGAATACTGTACAGAAAATCTGGCTAGTCAAATTAGGATACCTTTGGGCGCTGCATAGTTTACGAACAGTTCATTTTAGCATGATCAGAATTAACAAACAGTTTAAGACAAATGAAATCATTTCTTGTTGTACAGTTCACTTCTGAGTTAGCTGTTAAAACCCGATGATGATAATAATAATAATAAATATGATTGTCCAACTCATTCATTCCAGTAGTAGATCTCATCATTTGATTTATTCTACTTCAATTTCAGAAAAAAACTAGAAATTCCAGTTAGATAAATCATGGTTAGTTGGATTTAACATTTCAACTTATATACATCTCTATCCCAAATTACATAATCTCTGTCAGATAATAAAAAGCTGATATCAAGTTGTTTTCTTTTTTCTATTTGTTTATATTTCAAAACAGTAAATGACATAATAGAAATAAAAAAGGTAACTTACTGTCTGATATAATGTTTTTATGAATTAGAATATTTGATTCATCAGTAGTTGCTTTAATTTGTACAATCTCACTAATTTGTTTTTCGCATCTTTCTGTTGATGGAAGATTTTGACTATTCATACCATTACTACTACTATTACTACTACATATTGAACGATCATGTGAATCATCGTTACCTAGAAAGTATTTCAAATAGAAGACAAACAAATAGTAATGTGTATATCGTTAGAAGTAAACTAATATATATATATATGTATATATATCTATATTCTTGGTGGTAGTTGAACTCCACTTAATTAGCCTTTAAACAACTATTTCAATATTCTATCTAGACTGAAAAGACGTTAGCTAGTGGCTAAATGTACTCTTTATTTCATGTATAAACAGTTGTCAGATCAATAAAGAATATATGAACCATCACAACTATCTATCCAACTTAATCTTAATTCATTGTTACGAACAAAATCTACTTGAATGAGACAATAGAAAAGTAACTGATTGAGGATTTAAACTCAAACTTACTTAATTGAGCATGAAGTTAATACATAAACCAGATAAGTTTTTTTTTAATATAACCTTTAATGTTTGATTTCAAGTCGTTTCATGGCTCTTACGTAAAGACAATGTTAGCAGATATATATTGACAAGACAGATAAAAATGGGCTATTTCAGTTAAATGTCATAAATTAACTCTGTAATCGCCTTACATAATTATGAGAATAATTAGATTTCAATGAATTGATGTTGAAATGAACGTCTATCAAGACCTTCAGTTGTGCGATTAGTAATCATTATCTTTGGGGTCGAAAATCGAGAAATAAACTTGTTGATAATAGGCCAGCACAAAACTTGACATAGTGAAATCTCAGTTTTATGTATTGAGATAACTGATAAAATATCAAATATGTGGTGTTTTCCCATTCTGAACAACATCGCACTCTGGAATCGGGCCCAGGGAGAATTCGTGACCTGTAGAGTTCAAACATCTCGATTATGGGACAAATATCCACCACAGGCGACGGATGTGGATTGCACAATATCGTGAATTGATTGAATTTACCCATTATCAGTGTTGGATGCCGGCCCAATGGTTTAGAGGTTAAGTGTTTGCATGCGTGAACGAATGTCTTTGTTTCGGTTCTCGGGTGCAGAGTCGTGGATGCTTACTGATCAGTAGTTCCATACTAGGACGAAATGGTCATCTAATGGTTTCACATTTCCAATAAGGGTCTAATTAAGATCAGTTCGTAGTTTAAACTATGAAAATACTATAATCTCCTAAAATCCCTTATACTAAATATGTGTTCCTCCGAATGTATATCTACTCAAATGGATACGCAAATCAATGAGTGTATATATATATATATATATATATATATAGTGATTATTGGGAGTTTTTTGGACTGACTCAGATTCATAAGTACGCAACTCGAAACAAAATGGTTCAACTTAGGCGACAATACTATTTAAAA